GCCATTTGTTGCACCGTAGAATAGTAACACTGTTTATGTTGACTTTGTATTCTATTGCATTATAATGTCGATTTCTATCACTACAAGCAGTAGTGGTGGTCCAAATTGTCTCCGGGCAACATGCCAATGGTTATGGCTTGATCTGGGATTTGATTATTTTCTGTGGATTAAACTTGTGTTTGATATAGCTTCAGTCTAAAAATTTTATTGGCCTAATATTCTTGACATGCTCAGATGTGGTCATAATGTTATTCTTTGTGGCTATTTGAAATTTCTTTGCTAATCACCTATTGATTTGTCGGATGTTGCATGCTTGGCTAGTTGTCCAAATTCTATCTTAAAATCCGACTCTTGCATGTCTAAATTTATAAAAATAGTTTTTGTTTCTCTACTTGAGTTTGATGCTTGGAATTGAAGTGAGCTATATTCGCACGAGGGTCGATAGAAGGGCTTTTTTTTTTGGGAAAAAAAACTAGGCCTAGTGATGCTCTTAATTACAAACTTGGAGTTACATAAGAAGGAATTAGCATCGAAAGAAACTTTTAAATATTGGTAGGAAAATTAATTCACCTATCTCGCACTAGATCTTGCATTGCATTTGCAATTAGTATTGTTGGCTAATTTTTGCCGTCTCCAACGGAACATGTCATGAAGAACTGGATGGAAACTCTTAAAGAAAGTAAAATTCTATTTTCTGAAAACGACTCTTTTAAGGATGGAGTTTCCACGGATGGCATTAATTGGGTTGGGTCCATAACTTGTAGGAATTTGTTACAGCGCGTACAGAATCAGATTTAGATCTATGGCTTGAGGATTTGTGAACTATGTGGTTAGGGTGGTGCTTAAAGGAACTTAAAATAATATACGAAGCTAAACTGACAATGAAGCTGCAATTGTCATTGCCGACAGTCTTGTATAGCATGATAGATTTGAACGTGTTGAAATTTTTCAAGGCTTCAGAAATGAGAGAAAAATATTAAGAGGAAATTACACAAACTCAGCCATTTAGAGATCACATTTTATAAATTAGAGGTCTAGTTTACTATTTCAAATATCAGATGCTCTCCCTCTTCTCCCATCATCTCTCTCGCCTCTCCCTCAACCTAAATCAATTAATAATTCATCACATCCACATCACTCCCACATCACCCCTCTCTTCCACCAAAACAACCACTGATTGCCATCGGAAACCAACTACCGCTATGCATAGGACCACCGTAGCCGTGCGCCTGCAGCTATCGTGTGTAGTGCAGCCGCTCTAGGACTGTTGCGCGCAGAGGAGGGTCATCGCATGCAACGCAGTCGTGCGCAGGACAATAGTTGTGGCTCCATCAGCCCCTTGCCTATGTTGTGGCTCCTTCAAATCCGTCAGATCGCTTATCAAAAATTGGAATCTAAAGCCCTAATCAAACAAACCCTAGATAAGTAAACCAGAAAACGTGAGGAGCCGACAGTGGTAGAAGCATATTGGTGGTTTTCAATTTTTTTATTTGTTTTTCTGACTCTGAGGAAGAGTTGCTGTGGTTTTGTGATGAATAATTGATTAATTTATGACGAATATATTTGATGTAAAAGAACGCGTGTGTTTGATGGTGCTGAGTTCAATGACTAGGTGCTGTTGTGTGGTTGGGATGCTATGTGCGATGGTGGTTGTGGAGTGGTGTTGACCTGGGTGAGGTGACGATGGGCTCAGATTGTTCGTGTGGTGGTGGTGGTGGTCTGTGAGATCTACAAGCGAAGCAGATCTGTGGTATGTTTTGGTTGAGAGGTGGTGGTGGTTCTAGTAGCAGTGGCGATCACAGTAGCGCTGATGCTGCTCAAGCAGTGGTGATGTGGTGTCGTAAATATTGGTGGTGGTCGCATATTATTTGATTATTTGTAACTATTAAATACATTAATTTATGACTAATGAAAAATATAAATTGTGAACAAAAAATAATCTGTGATCTAAAAAATTGTTAATTTGTGATCGATAATTTGACAATTTGTGACTATCTACTAAGTTGTGACTTATAATGTTTGTGATTTGTGATTGATAAATAAGTTGTGACGTTTTAATTTTTTTATTTGTGATCGATGAACAATTTGTGACATATAAATTTTCTGAATTGTGACCGTAAAATCATTTGTCCTATAAAATATTTTGATTTGTGACCGTAAAATAATTTGTGACCTATAAAATATTCTGATTTGTGACCGTAAAATAATTTGTCTTATAAAATTTCTGATTTATGATCGATGAACAAATTGTCACATAAATTTTTTGAATTGTGACCGTAAAATAAGTTGTGACGTTTCAATTTTTTATTTGTGACCGATGAACAAATTTTGACCTATAAAATTTTTGATTTGTGACCAATTATATAGAATTCATGATCAAATTATATGGAATTGTGACCTTAATATATTTAATTAATAAAATATATGTTTAATTAATTAATTTACAAATAAAATTTTAAAAAAGTTTGAAATTTGAAATTTTAAACTTTCTCTCTTAAATTTGAAAAGAGTGAAATTTAACCTCTTAGTTATGAAATTTTCCCAAATATTAACCTCTAAAAGTCAAGAAGCCCACCAAAGATCTTCCAAAACATATGTTTCACCTAATACTTAGCAAAATTGGAAGAGAGAACTGGAAAAGACTCGAGCAGCTAGCAAATTGTGCAAATCAATTCATTACCTTCAGTGGAAGATTCTCTTCTTAAAATGAGCTGAAATTAATATGAAATTCAGGGAGCCCCCAATCCATTCCAAGTTAACAAATGTAAAAGCAGCATGCCTAGCGAGCGCATGGCCTTCAAAATTTGCCTGGTGCCTAACAGTGCAACTTAAAGCTGGAAAAGATAAAGAAAGATAAGAAAAGTTGGTTGGAGGATTATTTACAGTCCACACCAAATATACAATGTCCAATTCAATGCAAGAGATCAGTGGCTTCTGTGCTTTAGCAAAACACAAGCCCTCAAAAATACTAGTAATAATCTGTGATTGATTTTGCAATTATCCTAAAAGCTATACTTCGAGTTTCTTCCTTTTCCTCTGATTGGAACAATAATATTTTCCAAAGAAGAATTTCATGCTCTTCCTTTGGGGAAGGGACGATTAGGGAAATTCTCTTGATTGCAGCTCTCTCCAAACCTCCAGGAAAAGCATGAAAAAAAAATAAAAAATGCATGTGCTAGTATTATATCTGTTATCCCATGAAAATGAGCCTAGCCGAGGTGCCTAAAAGTGCATAACCGGGGCTCACCAAGTGGCTAGCCGAGGTGCCTAAGAGTGCCTAA